TTGAAGCTCGGACTTCGGGCGGGGGGGGGCAAGGGCAACATACGTAACCTAAACATCTGTACCCCCATAATATGCTGAAATAATAAAAAAAATCATAAAAATGTGGCAAACGTGGCACTGAATATACCACAACAAGGACACTCGTGTACAGTACGAGAGCTGAGACCGGAAGGCAGAGCGTCACCCTGCTGGACCTCAGTTAGGTGCTCTGGGTGCGGGGTACACAGGGCGCTCCCTTGAGAGGGTCCGCAGAGCTGGACGCTCTATGTGCGTGTGTGCGCGTGTGCGCGCGTGTGCGTGTGTACATGTGCGTGTGCATGTGCGTGCGCGCGTGTGCATGTGTGTACGTGTGCGTGTGTGTGTGTGTGCGTGTGTGTACGTGTGTGTGCGTGTGCGCGTGAGTGTGTGCGCGCTACACCTGGACATAAAGTTGACTTACAAAAAGGCGTGTGGGGCTGGGTAGGCGGCATCCTTTCTGGGATACTCCTGCCAAAAATGCAAAACTGGAATCTAATCGTGAGGAAACACACCCAAAGTGAGACACGACAACCGGTCTGGGATCTTCGAGTGTCAAGGTCACGCATGATAAAGAAAGACTCGGGAACAGTTCCAGACTGGAGGAGAATTAAGAGATAGGATGACTGGAGGGGGAGAGAGAGAGAAAAAGACTTTAAAAAGTTTGTTTTTGCCATAAAGGACAGTTTGGGCTCGCTGGCGTGGCCTGCGGATTAGAGGACAGTGCTGTGCCGATGTCCATTTCCTGTTGCCGCCGTGCTGCGGTCGTGCGCGAGAACGTTCTCAGGAAACGCGCTGACGTTGTCGGGGTGGCAGGACGAATGCAGCCCCCAGAGACAAAGACGTCCGCGGGATAAAGATATCCCTGGCACCTGCGATGTGACCTGAGACAGCAAAAGGGGCCGTGCGATGGGATCACACGCAGGACCCTGCGGAGGGAGGCGTCCTGGATGACCGGGGGCCGTAAACGTCACCACGGGGTCTTTCTAGGACGGGGCAGAGAGATTTCACACAGCAGAGGAGGCCGCGCGAGCAGAGGTCGGGGCCACGTGCTTTGCAGACGGAGGGAGGCGCCACGCGCCAGGGACTGCGGGCAGCCTCTGGGAGCCAGAAAAAGCCAGGACGTGGGTTCTCTCCTCGAGCTTCCAGAAGGAGCCAGCCCTGCCCACACCTTGATCTGGGCCCAGCGAAGTGGGGAGCTGCCGAACCCAGCATTTCCCGAAATCCGGGTGAGTAGGAAAACCCGTCTATGCCCCCAGCGTAGCCTGCAAACGTCCCCAGGGACTGACTTTGGACTGACGTGGGGTCACCGTACCCATGACCACAGCATCCCCCAAAACGTAGGCCAACGTCACCCGGACCAAGATTCACAGAGTCACAGCCCGGCCTGCGTCGCCAGCGCCCGCACTGTGCGTGTGACCACTGATTACCTTCCTTTCACGAGAACCGCCAGTGAAGAGGCTTGGCGACCTCGGCCCTCGAATCCTGGGTGTCACAGCTTTTGCTACACTTGCTCTTCCCTCTCCCTTTTTTTACTTTTTATTATCGTTATTTTGCTGGATTCTGTTAAAGCAAATCCCAGAAACGGCATGGCTTCACCGCTACTAGTAACTTCATTCCGCACGCGTCTCAAAAGACAGGTAAGGACGTGTCCTTCCAGACCCCTGACGCTGCCCTCTAACACCTGCCCAACAAACAATGATCATGCCTAACATCAGCCCAGACCCAGTCCCTCAGTGGTCTTTAAAATGGCCTTTACAGTTGGCTTAGGAACCTGTGTTTGTGTCAAGCGCCGGGGCAAATGTGACACCCGGGGACTTGGCGCTGGCTCCCTGCTGACTCAGACCTGCCGATCACGCGCAGGCCCCGGCCTGCAGACGGACGCCTCACACGAGCGGCTGGCGCACCTCCCTGCATCCGGGGCAACCTGCTCCACCTCTCAGCGTGGCACTCATGGCGCCGAGGGCTGGCGGGTGGAGACGAGAAGGAGGGGGATGGATACAGGCCCTGCCTCAATTGGCCCCAAATACTTTCTGCCTTGGGCTCCCCTGTGTGTAGGTGACACTGAAGTGTCCACCTGCTTCTCTGGGAATGGATCATGGGCTGGCTTTGGGGGTCAGGCCTGGATTCCACCATGGCTCTGCCTCCTCCTCTTGAAT